GTCCAACGTTATTAGCATGTGTTCTGTTGTTATGTAGTCCAACGTTATTAGCATGTGTTCTGTTGTTATGTAGTCCAACGTTATCAGCATGTGTTCTGTTGTTATGTAGTCCAACGTTATTAGCATTGTGTTCTGTTGTTATGTAGTCCAACGTTATCAGCATGTGTTCTGTTGTTATGTAGTCAAACGTTATCAGCATGTGTTCTGTTGTTATGTAGTCCAACGTTATCAGCATGTGTTCTGTTGTTATGTAGTCCAACGTTATCAGCATGTGTTCTGTTGTTATGTAGTCCAACGTTATTAGCATGTGTTCTATTGTTATGTAGTCCAACGTTATTAGCATGTGTTCTATTGTTATGTAGTCAAACGTTATTAGCATGTGTTCTGTTGTTATGTAGTCCAACGTTATCAGCATGTGTTCTGTTGTTATGTAGTCCAACGTTATCAGCACGTGTTCTGTTGTTATGTAGTCCAACGTTATTAGCATGTGTTCTATTGTTATGTAGTCAAACGTTATTAGCATGTGTTCTGTTGTTATGTAGTCCAACGTTATTAGCACGTGTTCTGTTGTTATGTAGTCCAACGTTATTAGCACGTGTTCTGTTGTTATGTAGTCCAACGTTATTAGCATGTGTTCTATTGTTATGTAGTCCAACTTTATCAGCATGTGTTCTGTTGTTATGTAGTCCAACGTTATTAGCATGTGTTCTGTTGTTATGTAGTCCAACGTTATTAGCATGTGCTCTATTGTTATGTAGTCAAACGTTATTAGCATTGTGCTCTATTGTTATGTAGTCAAACGTTATTAGCATGTGTTCTGTTGTTATGTAGTCCGATTTGATAAACATATTGTACTTTAAACTTACGTGATCTTAAAACCATGTTACATTGGTCCAAATACGCCTCGTAAGCTTACGTAAAGGTGGCTTTATGTTTTTAGGGAGGGGTGAATGTTAAATGTGTTTCTGGTTTCTGATGTTTCACGTCTGTTTCAGCACTAGTCCTGAGCCTAAAAGGGAAAGTCGTCTAACAAGTATCATTGATCAGTTGCTAAGCAACAAGACAAAGGACATGCATCAAGCCGAGGGAGACAAAGAAAACTTTTGTGAAAGCCAGGATCGTAAGAGCACCGCCAGCCCGGCTTCACTAGATAACGGTAGGTTTAATTAGTGAAACAAAAAAATCCTTTATGACCGAATCGTTAGACATTAACTCCCATATCTTAAGAATTTTTACTTAATAGAAGTTCCTTCTGACATTTCAACGTCACTTAGTATGTTTTCTATATGCGAAAAGCTACACAATGGGATATCTGCACTCTGCCGATCGCAGGGATCGGACCCCGAATCTTTAATTTGTAGACTTGGAATACACCCCCGATCCTCGAGGGGGGGGGGGAGGAGTGGGAACGTTCTACACTTTAAAGAATAAGAGGTGTCTACCTCCCTCTTATAGTGGGATAAAAAGAACGTTTTTTTTTCCCTCCACTGTAACTGTAACTTTACACTGGACCCTTTTCCTGTACTACTGTTGCTACGGGTCATGCACAGTCCATATTGCCAGATCTTACCACTGTGTAAACATGATTTATGTTCTCTACATGTAATTTTCTTTATGTTTATACATTTTTGGTGGTCAATTTACAATTGTATTAGCACAAGTTTATGATACTGCATTAAAGTAGTGCCCCCTGGTGTCTCAGCGGGAAGGTTGACGGTCTTAAAACGCTGAAATTCGGGGTTCGATCCCCCATTATGAGCACAACGCAGATATAGCTCGTTGTGTTGCTCCGCGCCTAAACTAACCAATCAAACAATAAAAAATAGTTTTGATCATAATAGAAATACAATTACCCCCAACTTATATTACTCGTACGAGCTCTAATATCTTTGCGCCGTTAGGACTCGAACCTCGGTTTCCTGTTAAATAAATATTTTAGGACTAGTCGTGTTTTATTACTTGAAATCGTGAAATCAGTTTCTTTGAGTATTGGTAATAATTTTGTTAACTAGGGCAAAACAAACACAGGCACACTGTAGAGCAGGTTAGTCAAGTTTTTGTTTTTTTTACCGATAGATGGCGGTCGATTAAGGTGACGATCTACGCCATTAAGGAACACGTACTTCTGACATTTGACTGATGTTAAACTGTGAATCTCCACATTCCACAAATCAAGTTGAATTTCTTTGATTTCAATTTTTCTCTCGTCCATAGACAAAATATAGAAAACGGAACACTTTACGTACCTTCAGTAAATTCGAACACTAAATAAACAGCTATGACAGACGAAAACGGAACACTTTACGTACCTTCAGTAAATTCGAACACTAAATAAACAGCTATGACAGACGAAAACGGTTGGATTCGAACCTATGGTTATAAATAAGTGCGATAACCACCAATTGAAACCAGTACACGTCAGTTACGATCCGCCCGTCTAGGTGGCGTTTGGAGTAGATCTAGTTGGTGGCATACCGGTCTTTTGGCCAGTAGAAATATGGCGATTTCCCTGTTAGAACCCCACTCCTTTGACTATTGGCGTGTGCTTATCAAGTAATGTAGTAATCAAGACTTCTTGCGCGAGTTGGTTTCTCACATATTTTCTTTCTCGAAATAATATTTAAAAAAAAATCAAGTTAATATCAAACGCTCTGCTGCTATAATAATGAGCGTTTTACGGAGAAATTTGGAAAGAAAATTACACTAAATTGGTGAGAAAAATACTTTTTTTTCTCTCGCTCGTTTTTAAGTACAAGGTACACGGTAATACGGCCTCAGAACGTATCAAATTGCACGCGCTTCCAAGCCTTTAATAACGAAATCACTTGCAGCGTAATAAATATTCGTCGTGTGGGATGTCGTCCCGAATTCTAAAATGTTCTTCCAGTTTGTTCTTTTTTAACTTCTACGTAATCTACTTTTCAACCACTTTACTTTTGTGTCGTAACAAGACATAACCAAGAAAGTCCGTGTTATGTGACTTGTGAGTATAAATAATTAGTTGGAAAGCAAAATACCAAAATGTACTTCGTGCCTCCGCAGTCACAGAGGGCGTTTGTTTGTTACTGACAGGATTAATTACTAAAAATAAAAACAGACAAAATACAACAGTCTTATCCCGAGCTAATCGACAAAGGGTTTAATTTTAACTTTAAGCATCAAGGGTCAAAGATTAGGGTCATGGTCGTGTGTATTATAACAGCAATAGTTTAAAAACCTTCAAATTCAGTTATAAGCATTAAATCTGATGTGAAGTCAGTTAGATTTTTGATATCAACTTAACAGACACTTCAATTACCCGAACTGTTACAGTTTCGATCTTTAGGCTGTATATATATCCGTATTCTTTAAATTGTTCGCCAACACTATTCCTCCTTGGAATGGATAACCGAGGTCAAAGATATCATCAAACCCGTCACCAATTCATCATTTTGACGGCGTCATGCGGGCATGCACGTGTCCGGTAATCTTGTGTTGAAATCTGCGTGTCAGTAGCTCGTGGAGGTGTGTGTGTGTGTGCTCTTTTTTTTTTTCGGTTCGTCAAGAGCACTGTTTCAACTCCGTATTTGTGGTTGCGCAGGCTTTTAAAAATCCCCCTATCTCCGAGAACATGTGTATCTATTTTATGGTTAAACCGACGGTAATGTCTCTATTATCTCTGCTTTGAATCCCCTCTAAGTGTGTATTAATTCGATTCATTTGGATCGATATTTTCACGTAGGTTATCATATGTTTTCGTCTTGGTAATAAAGTATAACAACATTAAAAGCTGACCTTAAGAATGTTCTTCATAAAAGTTGTGTACCCCGTATTGTTGTTTTAGTTTCGGGCATAGTACGTTATTGTACAGATGAACGGTGACGCTCATAACATAATCAATGCCCTACCTTGCTCTATATTCCCGCTCCCTTTGCCCCCCCCCCCCGAAGCTTAAAAGGCCCTCAAGCTAAATGACCTGGTTTGAGAGCTCCTCCTAACGTGCCAAGGCGTCTCGTGACAGGATGGAAAAAAAAAAAAAGACAAGAAACTAGCCCTACTTTGAAGCCACTGTACATCGCTATTTATGTATAAATATGGGCGTTTCAGCTTTATGTAATAAATGTTCTTTTTATATAAAATCCGGCCTGTACAAGGATCCGAGTTAAAAGCAGGACTTGGGCTAGGTCAGTGAAGTTATAAAATGTCAACGGACCGAGTAACATTTTGTTCTGCTTCGAAGGGCGCGAAATTCAGTCGTCAAAAATAGATCAAATTAGACACAGTGGTTTTTACGCGAGGCTTGGAGATAGAATGTGTGCATATAAATAACCAGGTCAGTTCTTTTCAGTTGTGTTTGTGGAAACTATAATTTAGGTTTCATGTTGGCTAAGCAATCGGGAATTAGAAAATAATCTTGAACGTTTTCATATAACAGAAAATGTATTGTACGGTGTTTAACGAGTCAAACAAGGATTAATGGTAACCACTGAGAGATATGCGTTGTTTGTTTCTCTGGTTGTTTTTGAAACCCCCTCTGTGGAGAGTGCGTCTTATATCTTTTATTTCTCCAGTTGGTTTTGAACCCCCCTGGATTCTGTGGAGAGTGCGTCTTATATATTT